GCTGGCTGGGCACAGGACGGTGTGGCTGTCCCAAATCTCCTTTCCACAGGAAGCTTTAAGCATGACTGCTGAGACCTGCCCAAACACTCCATACCTGGGGTATCACTGTCTTTTGGGGCACTTCCAGACCCTATGTGAAGCTGTTCCCAGGAACAAAAGTGATCAAGATGCCAAACACAAAAGACATTTTAAGTAGCACTACGCCCAAAGTAGCATGTGTTTGGGATAAATACCACTTTTGGGCCTAGAAAGATTGCAAGCTGTGCTGAAACAATTAGTTTTTTACACTAAGAATCTCCAACAGTGATTTGCATAGGGAGAGGGGCAGCTAACCATTGCATGAAAATCCTGCTTATACAAGGTGTCAGATTTGGTCACAAAGGAAAATCAGAAGATTGTAGCATTTTGCCTTGAGAAAATGTAATGGCAGCTCAGGAGGGATTTCAGGATTTTGCTCACCAACCAAACAATTTAAAATTATATGCTGCTATGCACTAAACTGATTACAGGATTAGTATCACCATATTGTGCAAACTAACTGTAGGTTTGAATTTGTGATCTCTGTGTCTGGCAATAATCTTGCATTGAACATAAAGCCAAACTTTGGTCTTACTTGATAAATGGGTCTACAGTGTTTAGTTTTGAAGTAAAAGTGAGAAATCAGTAAATATTGTAGTAACAGATTCATTGCAGCTATTCTATGAAGGGGTGTTTTGGACTGTGAAAGAATATATAGAAAAAGCAAAGAGTTAATATATGTACTAGAAGTAATAATGTGATTTTCAACTTGGATAACTGTGACCTCATTCTTTCAGGAGGAAACATCAAGAAATGAACAAACTAACCACCCAGTCAAATTGGAAATTACATTTTTAGTGCCATTTAGAGGAAAAGAAATAAAGCACAATCAATCTGAGTTGCACCCACTGAGACATCCATATGTCAAAGAGATTATTTCAATGGAATAATAGGAGTCATTCCCCTAAAGTCCTAAATTAGGATTTTTACAGGTGTTTGTATCCAAATGCTCTTAGAATTCCATGACTAGTACATGCTCCAGGCACATTAGAAATTCCTGTCTTGGATGGAATATGTATTACAAAAACTCTTCAGTTTCAGGACATTGTCAACAAAAACTTGAGGCATTTAAAAAAGACAAAATATAGATAAAAGGCTAGAAAGGAGTGAGAGATTAATGTAAAAAAATAATTAATATAAATAGCTTTGATTAATACTGAGAAGGTAAGTAGAAGGTGAATATATTTGCTGGTATATCCAATTAAATTCCACTATGTGGTCAGCATCCAAGTAATAATGGGATAAATAACTAAAAATTTCTGATTTGTATGATGTGACTTTAAGTAAATAAGTAGATTCTGAAAGAGGAATATTAAGCTTAACAGCTTCAAATATGGAAAAGTGATACTGAGAGAGGAGAGAATACAACCACTAGGACTTTAAATGAAGGTTTCATCATCTTTTAGCAGAACCTCAGCTTCTTTTCTTCACAGAACTATATGGGAGCTGAAAACTGAAAGTTGTGCCTTTCAATGAATGCAGCAGCAATGTCTTTGTTTTCATTTCCCTTTGATGTTCTGAAGGAGCAACACTTGCTGTTCCCTGTCTCACACAGCTGCATGTACCTGTCTCCCTGTTCCCTGTAAGAAACCATTTCCTAAATTCATCTCTCACTCACTTTGATCAGATATTACATTCTGAACACATGGCTTGATCTCTTTCACCACACAGATGCTGGACTCACTGTGCCCAGGCTGTGCCTCTCACCTGGCTCTGATCCACAACCTCAACCTGGGGCTGTGTGTCCTCCTTTGCTCCATGAATTTGGGGTCCATGATGTACTGGCTCCCATTCCCTCTTGGCTACTTGAGTAGTACCTTGAACTTGTATTTTGAAATTAATGAATTTTGGTTTATGAGGAAAAGCTAATTATAATACATAGTGTTGATCCTTTTCATCATTTTGGAAGAAACCTGAGATTCTAATATCTCAGTACAATATTAAAATAGACCATGCATTTCCCAAGCTTTCTATAGAGATTGTAGGGACTACATTACAGTTTCCATGTATCAGAAAATACTTTTTGAAATATTCTCTGGAATTTGAAATCTTAATTGACATATTTCTCTAGAATCACAAATTAAAAATGGCCATCTGCTTATGCAGAACATAATGAAGAAGTTTATTTTGTCCAAACAGAAAATAAGTTCTACAGTTTAGATTGAGCCTTCCATCTAATAAGATTTTCAGGAAAATCAAAACTGGGAATCTGTGATTACTGACTGTGACATAATCCATGAATGTTCTCAAAGGCCAATGTTAAAATACTCTGGAAAAACTGGAATATTATGACCTTTTATTGATAAAACATGATAGAAGATATGAAATGCTGTTTGTTTTCTAGAGATTTTCTAAAATTATAACCATCTTCAAACACTGTATCCAACAGACACAATCCAGAAAATCAGCTACTTTCTCTGTCCTTGCTTAAAAAGTGAAACAAACATACATGTCAGACTGAAAGTTTCAAGTCCTGCACATTTGGCAATATCTGAGAGCAAAAGAGATCTTATTTTGAGGGACTGCAAGATAATCTGAAGTGTCAGTGTGCATGAACATGACCTGAACTCTAGACTGAAATTATCTGTACCACCATCTTCCCAACTTTTCTGACAAATGTGTATATTTGCAGAACAGATCAGGGTTTACCGCTTTTTTTCTCTGCTAACAGTGTGGGTCAGGTTCAGCTGTAAATGTGTTTCCTTCCAGGTATCTGAAAGTGTGGGTATATCTAGATGAGACTAATAAATGTATGTCTTCACTGTACCAAACAGGGCCATCCAGCTTCTCTAGGAGTTCCCTGATTCCTGTGCCAAGGTAATTAATTAAAATATCAACAAATATTTGCTGAATTGGAGAGCAGTGCTTAACAAAAATTATTAATAACTTTATTTTGACCTAATATTTTTTTTTCTTGAGTATTGACCTTTTATCAGGCCCTATCCTGTGTCATAATACTTTTATTGATTCTCATCTTTTCCATCTTAGTTGACAAGTTTCCTAATCTAAGATTTTATAAAATTCTACTGGAGTTTAAATAATGAGATTTGCCACACACACAAAACAACAGTTATGAAATAAAGATATTAAATCTAGGTCCTAGAATCTCATTCTATTTCCTTTTATTTCTTTCATTTCCTCACTCCATTAGCACTGGCTGGCATGGATAATGCTTCTGGACGTCACATGCCTTGTGGTTGCACAGATGCTCAGCTCTTCATTCAGGTCAGGGCTGCCTTTGCCCCAGTACAGAGCTGTATATTACAGATGTCAGAATAATGAGTCTGAAAGAACCATGATCACTTCACTGTCTTTTTAAAGCATAAATGTTCCTGAGACTGCAATTTCATGCACCAATTGTTTCAGATTTCTGAAATGAAGATTACCTGGTCCCTTCCCTCACTCAAGAAGACTATTGTGTTTGAGTTTCCTGCCATCTCTTTTGTGATAATCTGTTTCCATATTATAATTACTTCTTTCCAAACCTAGATTCAACAATCATTTTTCTTTCCTGAGATTTTCTTCAATAACAAGGGACATGCTATTGAATCTGAGGCATGTTTTCATTTTTTAGTGATCTTTTAGCTCTACTTTAAACCTTACGCTGTTGAGAGCATAGTTTTACTTGTTTCTTGACTTTCTGGCCAATGATGTCCTTGACATTTTTTTGTTTTACTGTCCTTCCTGGTTTCTAATTATTTTATGAACAATAAATACACTGTTGGTCCACAGAGTTCCATGGTTAGTCATGGTCCAGACATTCTTTGGACAGTTGCACTGTCCACATATTCTTTCTCACCAACCCCTGTGTTGTTTAAACATTGTCTTTTAGACACTAAGTACATAAAATTAACTTTTTATTATGCAATTCAATGAACTCCTACTAATATGGGGTTACTTGCTTTTTCCTCAATGTGATATCTAGGAAATGTTCCTATTTCTTTCACTTCCCTGGCTATCATTGTCTTCTGCTGTCCAAATTCCTGAAGCCATTTTCCACAGTTATAGCATCATGTCCATACTTCATTCACTAGCTGGAAGAGGTGGAGGTTTTCACTGTGTTTAAACATATAGCTATACTGTCTGCTAAATGAGCATTCCTTCTGTCTTACTTCCCAAACCCCTGGTGTTCATCCTTTCATTCACAGTTTCATCCACTGTAAAGTTTTAAGTCACACATTATCCCTCTCTTAAACCTATAAAGTAAATTGATTTTCTACTAATATTCTTGTTTAATTTTTTATCTTTAATGGTAAAATATTCATATTTTGGTTCAATTATGGTTCTGTCTTGGATTTTGGAGCCACATGAAAACCCTTTACCCATTAACCACTGGTTACTGACAGGGTACTTTTACCTCTAACTCAGGAAAGTTGCAAAGTGTGACAGGACTCTGGGGTCTGGCTGTGATGAAAAAGAAATAATACAGCTATCCCAGCCATTATCTGAAAGCTGCATTGAAATACATATGCTGAGTTTCACCATAATTATTTTTACCTGTCTGTCCCCAGCACTGACTGAGGAATCCAGTGTTTATTTTGTGTTCTGAGTTTTTCCAAATTCCTCAGTGAGAAAGAAAATAACTTCCCATAAAGGAGATAAATCTGTGCTCAGGACTGCACAGAAGAGGTGAATATGGCATATCTCCCTTTCCCTCCCCCTTTTATTCATCTGTAATCACCTGTTTCACGAAGCAGACATGAGTCTGGTATCTCACTGTGGTGAACAGTGTTTGATATTTTGTAAACAATTTTGTCACCCAGCTGTCCACAGATTGTTACTGTAAATATACATTTCTTCAAACAAATGAGGCATTTTACAGGAACCCCATGTTGCATCAGCTATCAATTTTGTTGATGTAGAGATTTAAATGAAATTGTCAAAGAACTCAGTTCTGCTCCTCCTGGAAAGAACATCTTTTACTTTTTAGTAACTGTTGGTTTGAGAATTGGAGGACATGCAAAGATGGAAGAAGGCGTTGCTCTTGTCCAAGCCAACCAACTGCAGATCTTAACAATGGAGAATGGGAAAAAAAAAAAATTTACTTAATGCTACTTGGACATATTGCATAAGCTTATTGATGTTACATCATTATTTATGCAGCATATTCATGTACATCTTATCTGAAGAACTGACAAAATAGGTACATCCCAAAGGTGGCTCATAAGAAAGGCCGCTAATGCATTTTTATGTCCAATTTTATAATTGAACATTGAAATGGGATCATTTTTGTATATGGATGTTTTAATTTATATAGTTATTAATGAGTATATTATATAGCTTAAAATGCAGTATATAAATAAATACATATTGTGCATATGTTTATCATAATTTCAATGATAAATCAAAGACAACAATTGTATCTATTTAATGTGTTAATTGTATTTTCATGCCTTTTTTTTTTTTAAATGCTTGCTATAAAAGTGTGTTTTGGGCTTTAGTGGATAAACAAAATGTGTGAAATTATACCAGCAACACAAAGCAGTGATCAACTTAAACTTCTGTGCACATTTTAGAGGTCATCATTAACATATGACCATATTTTTTAAGCATCTTCTGTTACTCAGATCAAGAAAATCAGAAAGTTATTGAATAATTCAGGTTAGAAAAGTCTGATTCATTTTAGAAGGACATCTATAAAGCAAGATCAGTATACTTTTAGTTTCAAAGTTTAGGTATAGATATTTGAGAATGAGATCTTGTTTACAAACCCTGTTAGAATAGTGGAACACTATTGTTCCTGGTTTATTCTCAATTTGCTCTATTCATAATATTATTTTATCTCAAGTCCAAATTTTTCTTAAAACTAAATAAAACTAAATAATGGAATGTTCTTAATCATATTTTCTTACAGAACAAAAACTCTGAATCATCTCCCCTAGGAAAAATTATTGCATCCAATAAATACACAGTAATACATACAGTAATACAGGAGTACTGTTGTGTATTCTGCAAAATGCAGGAGATGTGTTTCTATTTAAAATGAGATAGCAAGTTCCATTCGATCTCTCAGCTTAGTTTGTTTAAGATTGATTGACATTTTCTACTTGCTTGGAAGTGGTCTCCTCCTTTTTGTCTGTAGGTGGTCTCAGTGTAGCAAACCAAAGGACCCTCCTGCAGTTTTTTCTGTGAAACATCCCAACCTACAAGCATAGCTTCTTTACATAATGCATCTGCAACTCTAAAGGTCCTTATTTCAGTCAAATCTGGTTGACAACCAGTTTCTGGAGTTAAAAGAGTGGTCGTGTGTCAACAGAAATGGAGCACATATGTTTTGATAATCCCAACTATTTAAGTTTGGCTGTCAGATTGGACTGCACATATCTGAAGTCAAATTAAAGCTGCATCCTGAAGCTTTGCTCCTTCCCAGCAAAACACCTGAGAAAAACAACTTGAAAGTTGGGTCATAATGGAAGATCAACACAGTACTACATAGTGCTATCTCTGTTACACTATGAAAGGAGCACTGTTATCTGACCTGGCACTCAAGATAAAGAGCTTTGCTGATAATGCAAGATGCATTTCTTTTGATTAATACAATAACTGTGCCTGAATGCAACTTCACCTCTCCACTGTGTGTATGAGAATACCCAGTCTGAGCAAACTGCACCACACTCTGCATCATTCTCCATAGTGTTATGTAGAATAGTGAAAGATATTCTGCTGCTAATGAAGAGAGGTACTTAGAGGAGGATTCATGGTTATAGCCTGCAGGCAAGAAAACAACATTAAGAGTAAAGAGTGTCATTTAAACGCTAAGGGTTATTTAAGACTGCTGAAGTAAAATTACTTCAAAGGGCTGAGTTAACAGCTTCAGCTATAAAGATGTATCTTAGAGATATTTTTCTTGAAGTGATTGCATTCTTATTTCTGTCATCTTTCCCAGTCCATTTGTCTTTACTTCCTAAGACTTTATAAATGATTCTTACAATTCAGTAAGCTGAGGATAAGCACTATTCTACGTGATGGAGGGGAAATGAGAGTCCTTGTCTGTGGAGGATCTCCACACTGCTTCCCTTGTTATCTACTGTGTGCAGGTGCTGGTGCCCTGGTTACATTAATGTTCCATTGTTTTCTCACATACACAAACTTCCCATTGTGATTGCTGCCACTACCAATGCTTCACAGCCTGTGCCTTTTCTGCTTCCTCACTGCAGAAATGGTCTCCACATTTCCTCCTTCCCAAAAGAAAGAACTTAGAAATGGTGTTAAAAAAAAAGATGCTGGACTTTCAAAGGCCCCTGTTCTGCCAAAGCAAGAGGGTACTGTGGTTATCTCTGTGGGTAGACAAGCATGAAGTCAGCAGAGGCAGAGAAGAAAGAAGTGGCATAAACCAGAATTGCCACCTGCACCAGACCATGAGGGCTGTGACCTCCTGCAGCAGAAAAGGGGAAAAAACCAGCAGCAGCAGAGCTGGAAGAGGGAGGGAGGGAACTGGGCAAGCCCTGTGGAGCAGAGACCTGAGGCACTGCTCTGCTGCAGATGTGGTCTGGGGCCTCCCATAGAAGATGAGCTGCTCTCTTGTCTCATGGCAAGGAAAATAAAGTACTTTTTTGTGAGTCAAATCACTGGAAGTCATTCAGAAGCTGAAATGTAGCATGGCTGTGATAGGGAAGGGTAAAGAAAACAAGGGGTTCCAGAGCACTGCCAGAGACAGAGCAGGTGGGATGGAGCCTGCTGGAGCTTGGACTTCATAAAAGGCACGCGCTAGTTTTTAAGCAGGCAGAAACAGAAGTGAGTAATACATGAGAGTAATCAGGCTGAGCTGTTATGAAACAATGACTGGAAAGAAAGCACTTTGGCAATTCCAGTTGTGAAATTTCTCTTTGAAAATAGCTAAAGCATAAAGTATTGGTTGTTGTTTCTAAAATCTTATCTCTCTCTCAATATCTTTTTCCTTCAGCCAGAAGTATGGCAGATTTTACAAACAGACTGAAGACATTTCCAGATATGTATTTACTACCTATAATTATTATAGACCCTGACCTGGACATAGTAGCAGAAGTTTGAGGAAAAGGTAACTTTGTTACCCCCATTTCTCTGGAAATAACCGAAAGATTCACTATATCAAAAATGCAGACTGTTTCTTAGGGACAGGTACATCTACCTATGTAAATAAGAAGAACTCCTTGGGTTAAAACAAGTACATTATCAGTGCAGAGGACTACAGTGCACAGTAGTATGTACTGCAATTTTCTTACTATAACCACTTTTCTTACTATAACCACTATCTATCTATAAAAATACATGCATCAGAATGTTTGTACCAAAATACCCCCTCAGCTGTTAGCTAATGCATGTTTATCAACAAGTTATAAATTAAAACAAAAGGCATTGACAAGCAATAGCATCTGTATGCATTTTATCAGTCTTTTAAATGGATTATTCCATCAAATATTATAAATTGGTCATCACAAACTGTATCCCTGTGAGGTATGATTATATCCTTCTCTCCTTTCATCATCCTAAGCTAATAACAATTTTCAAGAGCAGAACTGAGAGATAAAGAGATCAGATAACTTCCCAGCCATTCCCTTAATGTGAATGAAGCACAATGTTATTTCAGCTAAGTATTCAAAACTCCAGCAATTTCATCTGCAGTAAGTTTCTGAAAAATGATCAGTGCCAGCAGATCCAGGCTGATGTATCTCTACAAGTAAAACTGCCAGGACACACACAAGGTTTGCTGTGTTCTTGAAGCATATTGTTTTACAACAGAAAATGGATAGAGCATTTGAGCTAACTATGGAGAACTGTTTTATAAACAACTTTATAAATAAATGTTGCTACATCTATATTATGTATTAGTAAGAGCTGAGTTCCTAAGCTGAATATTGATTGGGTTATACACTGTGGTTTCTCTTTTGTGGCTGTATTTCTCTCAATTATCTTGGCTTGTATCTGTCTTATTTTCTTTCAGCACCCCTTAACCCAAAGTAATCTTAGTTGAACTGTGAGTCTGGTCTCAGATGCATGCTATGAGAAGGGCTAAACTACACACAAACAGATGTTACAAGGCTGGGAATTTGCTATGACAAGACTCACTGGGATGGAGTAATTTCATTCTGGCAGCAGGAGCTCTCCAGCAAAGCTGTGCCATAGTAATTCCAGTGGATTACAGTGATTACCAATGACAAAACACCTTCCTATGGATTTGTGGATTTTTTTCCAGAGAGGCTAAATCACTGGAGTTCAGTTCTAGGGCAACAATATAGAAAAGCATAATCATGCTTTACTACTGGGTTTAAAGAGGTAAAAAAATATAAAAATACTAGTTTTATCTTCAAGCAGCTGAAGCCTTGGTAACACAGATGCTCAGATCTATTCTTTATTTTATATTTCATACATAAGTTTTGCTTTGATTCACGCTGGTAGCTCAAACCTTTATTACTCTTAGAATGGAGAAATAAAAAGGAAAGAAAGAAAGAGAAATCTGAAAGGAAAATAGCAGGCATATTTGGTGAATTGCCTGCACCACAGCAAGCTGAGGTGCCCTATACTTTACAAAGCAATTTTGAAATGCCTTTATTCATTCCTTATAAATAATGTCTTCTAGTTATAGCATTTTCAAAGGTAAAGAAAATGTATATTCCGAGTCTTGCTTGAACCTCCTCTTCAGTGTATATGTACATGTAATACACATGTAACAATTGACCTGAAAACGTCTAAAGGATCTGGTAATACCTAATTTACTAATATAGTCTGGCCAATCACACTTTTTCTGTCAATTCTCCCTATTTTTTTCGTGGTCATCCCCATTTGCCATTATATGTTTGACACTGAAGTAAGAAACCACCCAAGGTCTCATGCAACGGTTGTGCCTTCCAAATTTCAAAGCAGCATTTCTGTTTATGTTACTCTTAGAGGTCAAGTTCTTTTTTTTAACATGGTAGGAAAAATAATAAGACCAAAACAAATCTAGGAAAATCTAGATTAATTAATCTGATTAATCTAGATTAATCTGAAGTTAATATTTTTTGAGCTTGATAGTAATTTTGGGATGTTATAAAGACATTGCTAATAATAGTTTAATAAATTAAGTATCCTTTGCAATTTTATTATACGTGAAAATTTGAGATAATAGAATTGCAGAAGTGACACTGATACAGAAAAGATCCATTTGTTGATGACATCAGTATCATAGTACATCTGCTTTAAAAATGTATTGTCATCCAAAAATGAAGATTGAGTTAGGTAATTGTTAGGCATTTTTTACTTTTTTTTTTTAATAGAGGCTGGACTGTATGCAACAGAATCCATCTCATTCTTCATACTCTCTAAAATTTCTTTCCCTGTTCTGAAAAAATTCTTTAGTTATAGATACCCTTTAGATACTTTTTCTATTCTTATACTATACGTTCCATTTTGTTGTCTTCTCTTCCCAAGATGGATTTTTACTTTGTATTTTAACCATGAAGACTTAAATAATGGAGTATAATATAAAATACACTTGTTTGCTGAGAATCTATAGACATCCCATCCCATGGCAACAAGTCTATAAATTAATGCAGTGTGGGTTCACCATTTGAGTATATTGAAGCTACACAAAATAATTAATTTCCTCTAGTGCATTAGAGGAAAATAATTACAAGATCCAGCACTGAATTACTGCTACAGTCTTAATCATCTCATATCCACCAGAAGGTAATCTTGTCCCAATTATAGATCCAGCTGGAAATGGATTTAAAGCTAGATAGCTCTTCAGGTTTTTCTTGGCCAAGTGTAGGAATAGAAATGTCTTGACAGCATAATTAATAGAAGCACCACTAACATTGAAATGCAGACTATGTAGCACTCCATGTGCCAGGTGCAATGCTGTGTCTTTTTGACTTAATGATTAAATTTGAAGCAGCTATGAAATGCTTTTATGTTATTCTCAGTAAGACTGAGAATTAAATTTGTTATTTAAAACAGGAGTTGCTTCGTGGTTTAAGGTTAATCTAGTTAAAATGCAATGTTATACTGGAGATTCTGTGGAGACTTTTAAAAAACAAAGCATTCTACAAAATAGAAGCATTTGAAGTTCTTAATATTGGTGTTTTCTAAGACACCTTTTGTGACATATAAAATATTCCTGAACTACTTTTTCAGTAGATTCTCGGTTTTGACATTTGAGGAATTGTCAGAAAGTTCCCAGGATCTCTTGCAGCTCTTTTTGTAAATGAAAGAAGGACATGCCGTCTACCCATTATACTCCTTCCTGAAAAATTGTAATAGCACGTTTCCAATAAGCTAATTATTTTACTTTTCTTCATTCTCACTTAGAAAAACTATTTCACTCTGGTAATTCAATAAAACTTCTGCTACTCAAAACCAACCTCTATCTTCCATTTTGTCTCAGTAGCTGTCAGTAGCTGGCACAAAATTTATTTTATAATCTTTCAAAAGTTTGTTTCCAGTCTTTGAGACCTTGTAGCGTACTCTTGGTCACTTTTTTTTTTCCTTGATGCTCACCTGACTCTTAAGACCTTAAGATATCTCTTCTTTGACTTCATTTCTCTTTCACATTTGTTTTTAAATAGGCAGAAAAGCCAGCTCAACTAAACTATCCAATGGTTTTAATATTTTAGTCTGTCAATACTCAGAAGCTGAAGTAATTTCAAAGTCATGAAGATTGACTATTCAGTCTCCAGTTCTACAACCAGATGTCTACTACATTTTCTCTGAGGCAGCTCTGTCATTCACTGGGCAGGCTGGTGGAACTCATCTTTTGTAAGAATAATGGGACGCCTTCATCTGCTTTTTAGTGTTTGGTTTGCATGCCTACAATTCAGTTATGTATGAAATTCTTTCAACCTCTGTTCTTTGTTCAGAATTGTGCACAATGGAAAACTTAGGTACCTTAGAAACAATTCCTTAAACTGTACAGAATGTTTGTTTGGTTGGCCAAAGCTCATTCTTGCTGATAGCATTGTGCTAGGTGGAGTCAGCTCTGTGCTGCTATGAATGGCTACAATTTGGAGGCTCAGGTTAGGGTAGTTTCAAAGCCTGAACATTAAA